GAGGCAAAATGACTTTTTTTTGGCCCCCCCCTGTACAGACCGACAAACCGACACACAACTTTACTGCTGTATTGAATAGAAGATTACTTGACAAAGTCCTGTGCTTATCACATATATCATATCAAATAAGCGTCTGCCATCTGTTCAAAGCACGGAGAGCTTAGCGGTTTCGGTAATAGCAACAGCAAAATAAGAGTGAAGGCTCCTGGCTGAATGAAGTACTTCTACCAAAATCTAAGAGTTCAATGGTCGAACCGTTTCTCATCTTACCGCAAGCATTCGTTCACTGAGCCTCCGCCCTTTATCACGTTAGCCGTGGCGATCAAAATGGAGTTGTAAGGTGTGCAAAAAGCAAAGCAAGCATTGGCACTTGTAGACGTTTTTTGATCTGATCACTATATAAAAATAGACAATCATCAGTGTCCCAATGACCCAATTTACCACTTGTGGAAATGCCCCAAAAAATATTAAAAAATAGAATTGCCCTGTGATTGTTGACTTATTGAAGAGAAGGAACCACGAAAAAGCGCCCGCAATAAGACCCTCTTTATTTCAATTGATCATGATCACCGGACGAGCGTAAGGTGGTCAAGATCAATTGTGGATTGCAAAAGGCGGCGAGACACTGATAAGAGACGAGAGAGGCCAGAAAATGACGGGCGAGAGAGCGCAATGGCAGTGTCACAACGACACGGTCACCGGAGGCCGGCATGGGCCTATCGGGCGCCAATGGGCCTAAAACATGAGCGCCGTGCGTTCTGCTTGCTGTTTTTCAACTTTTAAAAGCAGCATATCCTCTACTGTTGCCTGCTTGATCATCATGCACGTTTATGAGGTTCTAGCCTTAGTTTATCGCGGAACGTGCCTTTAATGTAAAGAGTGGACTTCTGAAACCCCAAAATAACACTCTCCGAACGAAACAACGCGAAGGCGACGCAATGAGTATTCCGTAGAATTTTTACAAGGGAGGTCTTTCAGGTCGTGGCGCGCTTTTTGGAAATGGTTTGTTGCTTGTTGTCCATACAAGGATTACAAAAATGGGTTTCATTTTTGCTATGCGTTTCTGGGGAGGTCAAAAACTGAGTGAAAACAATTTGACAAGAAAGGGCGATTTTAACCGTCTTATTGGGCTCTGTTGTAGCTGTAACTTTGAGAGTGCATAGTTTATGAGGTGTTCCTTCACTATGTATCGAAAAGAGAGCAAAATAAAGTCAAAAAGAAAGTGCATGGAGAAAAGTAGTACCGAAGTTACTTCAACGATTCCCGCAACCACTGTTTCGTGGTCGACGGATGGCGGAGTGGATAGTGCGGTGGGCTCTCGCGAAGAAGGTTCTTGGATCGGATCCTCT